CAGGCATATGCGTGGGGTGAACGTGTATACGCACCTGTGCAGGCATATACGTGGGGTGAATGTGTATACGCACCTGTGCAGGCATATACGTGGGGTGAATGTGTATATGCACCTGTGCAGGCATATGCGTGGGGTGAATGTGTATACGCACCTGTGCAGGTATATGCATGGGTGATGTGTATATGCACTAGGTATACGCTGCTCTTTGTTCAGCCACGCCAAGTTCCACCACCCATCCTCACGTCAGTCATGGAGTACAGAATTCAGAACAAAGTCTGACCCATACCCCACAGCCTGTGAGAGCCCAGCCCAACTCTACTGCCCAGAGTTAAGCCTTCATCCATGTTACCATCTCTGTTGTTTCCCGTGCTTCATCAACAGAGATTCTTCGCCCACCCAGGTGGCAGCCACAACCACTGAGGCTGGAGATTCCAGGGCCCCCGTTGCCCTACCTTGCTGGCCAGGATGCGGGAAACCTCATCATCCACAGAGCCAGGGGCCACGGCGAGGTCAGGGTTGCTGCTGCTGATGCTCTTGGAACGGGCCAGGTAGAGGCTTGCAGGGCGACCAGAGCCACGGGCCAGTGTGGCAGCCTGTACTGTCACTGGAGGGGCCCCTGAGGATGGAATGAATAGGGTCAACCACGCGCCCACCTGATGTGACGCCTCTCAGTCCCTTCCTACTCAGCTAATCTTTGCAAAATCACTTTTCTTCTCTGAGCTTCCAAGTTCCACATCTATAAAATGGGGATAACAGCTGCCGTCTCTCAGGGATGTGGGGGGTGTTGAAAAACAGGATAGGCCTTGTGCAGCGGCTCATGCCTACGATCTCAGTGCTTTGGGAGGCCGAGCTGGGAGGATTGCTTGAGCCCAAGAGTTCAGGCCCAGCCCAGCCAACATCGCGAGACTCTGTCCCTACAAAAAATTAACGAAAAAATTATCCAGGCGTGGCAGTGCATGCCTGTGGTTCCAGCTACTTGGAGAGGCTGAGGCAACAGTATTACATGAGCCCAGGAGTTTAAGGCAGCAGTGAGCTATGATCATGACACTGCACTCTAGCACTCCAGCCTGGCCAACAGAGTAAGACCCTGACTCTTTTTTTGTGTTGAGACAGAGTTTTGCTCTTGTCATCCAAGCTGGAGTGCAGCGGTGTGATCTCGGCTTACTGCAACCTCTGCCTCCCAGGTTCAAGCAGTTCTCCTGCCTCAGCCTCCCGAGCAGCTGGGATTACAGGCATGCACCGCCATGCCCAGCTTTCATATTTCTAGTAGAGAAAGGGTTTCACCATGTTGGCCAGGCTGGTCTCACACTCCTGACCTCAGGTGATCTACTCGCCTCAGCCTCCCAAAGTGCTGGGATTATAGCCGTGAGCCACTGCGCCCGGCTGACCCTGACTCTTAAAAAAAAAAAAAAAAAAAAAAAAAAAAAAGAAGAAGAAAAAAGAAAAAATATCCTGAGAATAATGCCTGACACATAGGAGGTAGTATTTTTTTGTTTTTTGTTTTTGGGAAATTTTTTAAAAATCCAGCAGAATTGAGTGTTCACTATGTGCTAAGCATTTTGTGTGCATTACTATGTCACTTACTACTACCAGTGTCCCCATGAGGTGGGTACTATTATAATCCCTATTTTACAAAAGGAAAACCAGGTTCAGAGAAGTGACGTCACTTGCTCAGGGTTATAGAGATTGTAGAGAGCAGAGACAGGATTCACATCCAGGCAGCTCAGCTTCAGCCCCTACTCCAAGCTACTGAAGAGGCTTGCTGACTGTCTGAATCATTTTCCAGCCAAATAAACAGAGACCCCACCCCAGGGACGGGGTAAAAGTGGGCAAGACATTGTCTCTCTTTCAAGTTGCCCAAACCAGCTAAGGCCTGTGAGGCCTCAGGGCCTTTGCACATGTTATTCTCACTACCTGGATGCTCTTCTCCCAGATGTCTCTTTCATTCTTTTTTTTTTTTTTTTTGAAACAGGGTCTCACTCTGTCACCCAGGCTGGAGTGGAGTGGTGCGATCTCAGCTCACTGCAACCTCCATTTCCCAGGTAAAAGTGATTCGTCTTCTGCCTCAGCCTCCTGAGTAGCTGGGACTACAGATGTGTGCTACCCTGCTTGACTAATTTTTTTTTTTTTTTGAGATGGAGTCTCGCTCTATCACCCAGGCTGGAGTGCAGCTGCATGATCTTGGCTCACTGCAATGTCCGTCTCCTGGGTTCAAGTGATTCAGTCCCCCTAGTAGCTGGGATTACAGGCACCGACCACCACGACCAGCTAATTTTTGTATTTTTAGTAGAGACAGGGTTTCACCATGTTAGCTAGGCCGGTCTCAAACTCCCGACTCCCAAAGTGATCCATCTGCCTCAGCCTCCCAAAGTGCTGGGATTACAGGCATGAGCCATCATGCCTGGCCCTGGCTGATTTTTGTATTTTTAGTAGACAGGGTTTCACCATGTTGGCCAGGTTGATCTTGAACTCCCGACCTCAAATGATCCATCCACCTCAGCTTCCTAGAGTCCTGGGATTACAGGCGTGAACCACCACGCCTGGCCTCTTCTCCCAGATAGTTCTTGTCTCCCAGGGTTTTCTACAAACACTCACCACTCGGGAGGCTGGGCTCAGTGCCAGGCAGTCGAAAGGCATAGTGAATGTAGGCAGCCAGCTGTGGGCAGTGGCCGTGGGCATCCTGGGCTGCCTCCAGGCTCCGGTGGACAAGGCTGACTACATGGGCCATTGCTTCAAAGGCTCCACGGCCCAGGTTCACTGTGGGGCAAGCAGAGGTCAGGTTCCAGGGCCCAAGGCCTCTCCTCTCCCCGCCCACTTTCCAAATATAGAGACATCAGGATTCGTGGGATCATGACCCATTAAAGGGTCACAGAAGACCTTCTCTGGGTGCAGGGGGCTGGGGGTCGCTTCTCAGGTAAGGAAAATGGCCAGAGAGGTAAATGGGCTTATTGGAGAGCTCCTCAGGAAGGAGAAGCCATGTGCTGGAAGGAGAGACAGATCTGGGGCCAAAGTTGCTCACCAATCTGGCCACTGATGATCGGGGGCCTGACGACCAGACGCACGAGCTTGTCCAGCACGTGGTGGGAGAAGGCCACAAGGGGTTCAGGGCTGGCCAGGCGCAGGGCCGCAAGACTGGCCCGCAGCTCCTGTTCCACGTTACCCTCGCTCAGCACAGCATCCTTGAGCCGGAATGGGAAGGCCCCCTCCTCCAGGACGTGCACCAGAGTGAAGAACTTGTCCAGGTGGGGGTCCTGGGTAGGGATGTGGGGTGAGCAGGGTGGGGCCCCAGGGGACGAAGATCACCCCCCATCTGAATCAGCAGATTCCCTGTAAGCTGGAACCAGCTGACCAAAGTCACGTCCACGGTGCGAGGCCAGACCTCGCCACTGGCAACTGTTACTCAATCCTAGGACAAGCAAGAGGGGAGCAGGGCAGGACTCCTGGGTTCCCGCCCCACCCTGTACCTGGGGGTGCACAGAGGACACGGCCGTGAGCTCCACACTGAACACGCCCTTGTGACCGTCCACCCAGCGCATGCCCGGCAGCGCCACCTGTGGGAGGGAGGCCCAGGGTGGGCACTGGTCACCCTCCCTGACTGATCAGGTCACCCAGCAGCCCCAGCCATTGCGACACTGCAGCCGGAGTGTAGCCCAGGCTGGGGGGGTGCAGCCAAGCACCCTGGACCCAGCCCTGGTCCCAGGAGACTGAGGGGGTCCACTGGGCAGGCTGGAAACCCACATGCCAAGGAGGGGGACAGAGAACGGAGACAGAGGGTGAATGAATAATCATTGCATAGGTCAGGGAATGGCATAGGAGGATTCACGGCCTTGGGGCGTTAACGATGGTGCACTCGTGGGGAATGACAAGGTATTAAGGGGGCTGGGGACAGTGATCAGGTGGCCAAAGTGGGAATGGAGTAGAGAGGTGACGGGAATCTTCGTGGACAGCTAGGACACAGCGAGGCGTTAACAGGGGTGATGAGCTACGCAGTAGAGGACAACCAGCCTTTCAGGATGGACAGGAAGGAAGGCAGGTGACTTGGGAGGACTTCTTGGGACTGTGCATTGGCAGCAGGAGCTCCGGGGCACATACGTCGGGTGTGAGCACGGAATAGCTGGGTGGCGGCTGGTCCACGGACACCGGGAGACAGAAGGGGCCAGTCCTCAGGCGGCCGTGCTGCAGCAGTGGGATCCACTGGGGAGAGGCTGGGGGTCAGGTCTGTGGCCAGGCTTGGGGACAAGGAGGGCTCTGGGGGAGGGAGGGAGGGGACAGCTCACAGTAAAGCCCACGGGCGTCTCCAGGGCAGTGCCCGGCCGGGGCTGGCAGCTGACGTGGTAGAAGGTGAACAGCAGGTGATGGTTCCCCGTCACGCAGGCTGGAAGGCGCAGCTTGAACTCCTCATAGAACTCGGGGGACCTGGTGGAATCGGGCTGGGGGATCTGCTGGGGGCTGGGGTCCCCGCCGTCTGCCCTGCTGCCTCTGCTGCACCACCCCCTCATTGCTGTGGGCTCCACTGTTCCTGCTCTCTGCCTCAGTTTCCCTCATCAGCACTCTGGGAGCCTCCTCCTCCCTTCATCCTGTATTCCCATCAGTGCTGCCCCATGTGTGTATATAAGGGACATCTTCCTACCCCCACGGGTGCCCCCAAGGTCCTCATGTGTCCCCTACATACTTGTTATGGTAGACCACCGGTGTGAAGGCCTCACGGGTAAATTCACTGCAGCTGGACTTGCCAAAGATGACCTGGGGGAGTGGATGCATGAGGGACCCACAGGGGATGCCCTGCCCTGCTTCCCTGGGGCGCAGCCACTGACCGGCAGGGCCTGGCTGGGGTCCTCGCCTGTCATGTACTGCACTCGCACAGCAAGGTTGCGCACGGAGCCCTGGCGGCTGCTGAAGTTGAGGCTGTGCGGGTACACATACAGCAGGTTCCTGGGGGGACAGGATGGGGGCGTCAGAGGGACAGGGCCCCTGAAGGTGCACACATACAAGGCTGGGCTGATGGAACAAGGCTGGCTGGGAGTACAGACTGTCCAGGGAGAGTGGGTCATAAGGCTGGGGCATTGAGGGCCAGGCAGGAGGTAATACAGGTATCAGGCAGGAGATAGGACAGAGGGCAGAGGGTGGGGGACAAGTGAGCACCCTCAAAGCACAGACTGGGGACAGCGTGGTAGAGGGAGGGAATAGAGGCACATTGGAGGCACTCATGGGGCACAGTGATACACAGAAGGCAAGAGAACAGCGAGGCACTCAGGGCCAGAGTTCCAAGGTGGCTCATGTGTCCAGTGGTCAAGCCTAAGCCGCACCCAGGGGCCTGACTGCCCTTTCCTCAGGAGGTCACTAGTCATGAGGCCTATTTCTCAGGTGGGGAAACTGAGGCCAGAGTCAGAGTCCTGCCTCCTTCCCTCAGGGGCAACTCTGCAAGCCTTGGCCCCTCTCTGGGCCTCAGTTTCCCTGTGTGTATAATGGGCACTCCATTATACACAGCTGAGCCCTGTGTAATGATACTGATGATAAAATAACAACAATAATTGCACCAAACACTATTACTACAATACAGTAATTGCACCTACTGTGTGCCAGCCTCTGTTCTAAGCACTCAACATGAAATAACCCATTTACTTCTTACAAGTAGCTCATGAGGCAGGACTAACATCACCACCATTTTACAAGCAGGGAAACTGAGGTACTTGCACAATCACCCAGGGAGTAAAATGGCGGTCAGTGGTGATCCAGGCATATGCAGGATTTGGATCAGGCTGTGTGACCTTGGGAAAGTCTCTGACACCTGCACCTGCTCCCTTGGCCACGAACCAGGCCAATAAAAGCCACCCCCCACTCACAGTGTGGCAAATGTGTGGGAGGGGAACAAGAGCAGATATTGTAATGGCAGTTGGAACAGCTCTGGGCAAACCATCAGTACTTATAAATTCTTTACCATTATGACCATCATCATTGCGAAGCCTATTCATAGGTGGAGAAACAGGCTCAGCATGGTGAGTCTCAGGAACTCCCAGCAGGGTCTGGAGCCCGTTCTCTCCCAGTGCCCCTCACCCACACCTGGCCCTGAGCCCCAGGAAGCGTGATCCCAGCATGGCCCAGCCGGACATTCGCCTGATGCAACTGTCGCACCACCGCCAGGCCCTTGTGCAATGCGGGGCACCCAGCTGGCCAGTTAACGATTGACTGGGGATTGGTGGGGTGTGGGGCATAAAAGGCATCGGTGGCAGTGCTGTGGCTACAAACTCAGACCGTCCGTCATGCCAGTGCTCGCTCTGTGCCTCCTGTGGGCCCTGGCAATTGTAGCCCGGCCTGCCTCAGTGGCCCCTGGGGGTGGCACAGAATTGGCACGCCATGAGGAGCTGACCCTGCTCTTCCACGGGACCCTGCAGCTAGGCCAGGCCCTCAATGGTGTGTACAGGACCACGGAGACACGGCTGGCCAAGGCCAGGAGCAACCTGGGTCTCTATGGCCGCACAGTGGAACTCCTGGGACAGGAGATCAGCCAGGGCCGGGAGGCAGCCCAGGAACTTCGAGCAAGCCTGTTGGAGACTCAGGTGGGCACCGTAGCTGGGACACTGCGGGGTGGCCAGGAGTCCAAAGTGGAGTTTATGTCTAGGGTAACCAGTCATCCTGGTTTGCCCAGGACTGAGGGGATTCCTGGGATACAAGATTTTCAGTGCTAAAATGAGGGAAGTCTTGGGTACACAAAGATGAGTGGGTCATCCTGCTAGTGACCCACTGTTTATTATGCAGAAGGAGGAGGACATTCTGCAGCTGCATGCAGAGGCCACCGCTGAGGTGCTGGGGGAGGTGGCCCAGGCACAGAAGGTTCTACAAGACAGGGTGCGGCAACTAGAAGTCCAGCTGAGGAGCGCCTGGCTGGGGCATGCCTATGAGGAACTGGAGGCCTTAAAGGTAAGGGGCTCCCCCAGCCCTAGTGGGCTGAGACGCTGATTCCTGGCCAGAACTCGCTTCTGCACCTTGAGTCCCAAAGACCTCCCAGATCAGCCTCTCAGCTCTGTGGCCCCTACCCTGCATATCCCTGGACAAAACCCATGTCCTTTTGTGTGCCTCAGTTTTCCCATTTGCAAATAAGGGCAACACCTGATATCTCCCAGTAGAGCCGGGCACTCAATGCAAGTAAAATATCCAGCATGGGGCGGGCACAGTTGGTGCTCAATAAATATATATTTTTTTTCATGGAGTCTCGCTCTGTTGCCCAGGCTGGAGTGCAGTGGCACAACCTCAGCTCACTGCAACCTCCGCCTCCCGGGTTCAAGTGATTCTCCTGCCTCAGTCTCCCAAGTAGCTGGAACTATAGGCACACACCACCACGACCAGCTAATTTTTTGTATTTTTAGTAGAGATGGGGTTTCACCCTGTTAGCCAGGATGGTCTTGATCTCTTGATCTCGTGATCTACCCGCCT